AAATCCTCCGATGAGTGAATTTATAAAGTTTAAGCCTAAAATAAAATCGTAAGTACTCGGACTATTGTTAACTACATAAGTTTGTGGTAAAACAAATTTCTCATTATTTATTACTATAGGAACATTCTGGACACAATGAGTTATTGGCAATTTTTCATTATTATATTGACTAATATTAACATTATAATTTAATTTTATTAATACTTCTTCTGGTACTAAATGTCTTTTAATTATGCTTTTAGAAGCTCCAGTATCTAACATAGCTGAAGTTTGGACTAATTTTTCTTTAAATTCTAATGTTACCGGAAATTGGATTAAACTAGATAGTTTATATATTGAATTTATGGATTCAACTAATTTATTTTATAGTTTATTTTCATACTTATTATGACAGTCGAGACATAATAGGTTTTTACAATGATCTTTACAATAATATCCTTCGTTAATAGAAGAGCTACATTGTTTACAGTTGTAATTTGAGAAATGAAATTTTGTTTACAGTTGTAAATTGAGAAATGAAATTTAACTAACTCATAATAACATGAAGAATTACTTATAGTGCAAATATAATTTTTCACAGAATGAAGTCCTTATTCAAGATCTTCATCATTCTCACTATCAATACTCTCAATACTGTATATGCTTTCATTATTGTCATCGAAATCATAAACGTTTTCTAATTCATATAATTTCTCTATTTGTTCCTCAATATCTTCAAGTATATTAATTTTTTCTTGTATTTGTTTAATAAGGTTTTGCTTATATTTATAAGGGTAATTTGGTCTTATATGACTTGGATCTTCACAAACAAAATATTTGCAGCTTCGTTCCTTTGTGGGTAATGTAGTCACTTTGTTATCTTTATTGTTCTTAATATCTTTTTTATTTCTATTTATTTTTCGTTTTTTATACCAAGGGCGTTTTCTGAATTGTCTAGGGTTATTTTTAAAATAAGGTTTTTTGTTATGATATTTCTTGTGGGTTTTACTTTTGCGTAGATTATATTTTTTAGATTTATTACACTTATAATTATAATTTTTCTGAGACATACAACCATACTGAGGCGGAAAATCTATTTGTCTACACGTATAATAAAATTATTTTTTAATTTGTTTGGATTCTTTACGTTGTCTACATTCTGCTTTTAAAATATTATACACATGATTAACTCTATCTCCTATGGTTAACGTATCGCGTCTAGGATTTTTTAGCCATTTTTTCTATATTTTAGTTCCTATACTTCCGGGTAATTTCTAAAAATACCTATCGAGTAAGGTTTTATCTCTTGTTTTACCAGTGGCTGTAAAATACTCGAAAAACTTATTGGTATAATCTCTTAAGTATCTAAAATCACAAATTTGTAATAATTCTAAATTTGGTAAAGCTTCGTTTTGCTTTATTAAGGTTTTGTCTAATAATCTGCCTTCACTAACTAATACTTTTTTTATTAAGCTGGTAAAACCTTGAATTGTAAAATTATCACATAAAAAGACATAATCATTGAGATAAGTTACTTTGTAAAACTGCCACCAGTCATGGATAGTTCCCCTTCATAATGTTTCACAATAAGTTAAGGCCTGGGTTCTATTGTCAAAATTGGTTAAAATGGATTGCCTAATACAATCTCATTCCCAATTTTCGATTACTTTTGCCCAATTTTGGGGATCGTGTCTTGTTATGTCTAATATTGTATCTGCTTGTTGTACTGGTATATTGTCATATTGTCTACGATATTGTGTTAATGTGTACATATCTAGTATATTTTTATTTTCTACATAAGTTTCATGTGAGGGATTTAATCGTTGTCCAGTGGTATAGTCGTCATTTAAGGTATTACTTCCTGAAGCGTCAGTCATTTCTTAGTCAGTCATTTCTTGGTCAATTGACTGAGATATTGATCCTTCTGGTTCTTTTCCTTCTCTATGTTCTATTACATTCAACTCTTCTTTTACTGTGTTTAATTCCGATACTGTATAAAAAGATTCAAACCTTACGCTTAGAATATTTTTCTTAATATCATCATTATTTCCTTGTCCTAAGTAAATACTTTCTACAAGTTTGTATTTAAGTTCTGAATACTTGTCTTGTAAGGCTTCTAATTCTAAATTATCAAAATCGTACATTATTTTTTGTAGAATTTCATCTTATAATCTATCATTAAGGACATTTATTTCTTCACGAGATTCTATTTCTATGAGTGTAGTTAAAAAGTCTTCTTGTGTATCATCTACTAAATTGTCTTGTCTTTTATAATTACTAAATCTTATGCTAGCTTCTCCGCTATTTGTAACATATATCATATTATTTTCGGGAAACTTTTTAGGTATAGTAGTAAGATTAGGTAATTTCCATTCAGTTCCTTCATGGGTAATACTACTTACTTTTCTCGCTTCTATCATCTGGACATATTTGCTACTAAAAGGTTTAACTATTTCACTAAATTGGGTTTTAAATTTTAAGTTATATCGATTAACTGCTTTGCCCATAAATAAAGTATTAACTAAAAGATTTTCAAATTGTCCTATCATATTATATCATTTTGTAGATATAGCTATCTTTATATGTTTACTGAATTCTCTAGTAGTTATTGTAAAATTGGGGATACGTCCTACTATGGCTGTATTGTTGGCTAAATCTATTTCGGCGCTAACTATTTATGCTTGTTGATGGTTATTCTATCGGTCATCATAAATATAAGCAAGTGCTCTAGGTCCTATTTCTGTTCTGTTTAATCCTACTAATCCTATCATTATGACGCCTAAATGCATGAGTTCTAAATTATTATCATTTAATTCTTGACATGCTTCGGGTGTTACAAGGTCTAAAATATCTTGATTATTAACTGCACTTATTTTTCTTTGGCTAAAATGATTGTATATCTTGCTCTAGAAGTCTAATAAATTATTGGAATAAATAATTTACCTTCTTCATTCCTTGTTCTATATATTTTTTAGTATCATGTTCATTATCATATAAATCATCTACTCTCATTATTTCTTTGGCTTTTTTAAGGATAATGGCCATTGTGATATTTGTTTATGAGGTTGTAACAAATTTACACGCTTGGTGGTTACAAGTGAGTATTGATTTGACAATTTTATATCCTTTATTTTATTTGATAATTCAAATAATTCTTTAGAGGATTCTCTAGGAATACTTTCTTGTATCACTTCTAATTTCTCTTCAAGTTTATTAACTTTATCAGATAACTGGAGTAATAACTGGATTAAAAAGTTATTTTGTCTAATATGTATATTAGTTGATTGTACGTCTGTTTTAAAACTCGTAAATCCTATGGGTTCTTTATCAATTTTGTAAAGTTCAGCTAAGGCAGTTAGATAATCAGGATTACTAGTACTCATAAAACTATTGTAATAACTGTTTGATATCAGTTTTAAGGGATTTTAAATAGTCTATAATTATTTTTTGATTTTTAGCAATATTTTTAATATCACTATTGATATATTTAATTGCGACTAATATTATCTTGTTATTTAAATTATTTGGACTAGAATTCTATACTACTTGTTCTTTAATATAATCAAGATTCTCTCATAGTCGTTTTATAGAATTATCTAAATTATTAAAGTCTATTCTATTCATAAACTAAAATCGTTGCCGTCTAACTTCTAAAATATTCTGTATCAAAAGAATTTTAGATCTAAGTTTGTCTATTCTTTGTTGTAGACTGCGCGTTATGTCTCCTAATTCTAGTGCTATGTAGCATTTCCTAAGTGTTATTTGGTAAAATTCTAAAACTTACACAAGTTGTTCTTTGGGTAAATTGTGCATAAAGTAAACTTCTAGGGGTGAAAATATAATTTTAACGTACTTAAGCCTTCAAATAAAATGCTTTGACTTTTAGTTCATGTTAAGGTAAATATGCAAACTATGTTCATGTATGATGTATGGGTAATATACTTTTGCTATTACCACTTATATGTAATTTTCCCTTTATTATTTAATATCCTTTCATTTCTTTTCCCAAACATGATTACCATCCTTTCTTTTCTTCATTAATCAACCAAGCACGATACATGATTAATAATCAACCAAGCATGATATATGATTAATACTATCTTCACGTGATTAACACTATCCTCTCATTTATTTTCTCTTCTCTCATAACAAATGTTATTATCTATTTTCTTTTAATTGTACCAAACATAACCTAAATGAAATAACGACACGCTTATACGTTTTTGTTTCACAAGATTTCCACTTTGGAAAAGAAGACTAAAAGGGTCCAAATTAATCATTTCTTCAAGTTCCAAGAGGCCACAAATTAAAATATAATTTTCAAACTCTCTATTCTTGCCTATTGGGGCCTATCTGTTGGCACTTAGGTATAGATTTATAAATATTTAGGCTTAAAAATTTATAATATGACCCCCCAAAATAAATAGTGAGTTTTGGGAACTTTGTCCAAGTTTCCAATCTGTCACCATCAATTTAGAATTTATCAGGAAAAAATGGCTATTGGTGTGAACTTCTCATAGACAGGGAAGTCTTGCACCCCTTTAATGATGATATCATTCAAATATGGGTCAATGGGTCAGGAATCATTTTAATTATGATTAAAGTGATCGAAACATAATTATTTGCAAATTATCTTTTCTTTATTATTGGTTTAGGCTCTTCCATCGTATCATTTTACAGAGGTGACATCACAACCTAATAGTAAAATACTGTCTATATGAATGCATTGGTCGGGTTCACTCAATACAAATATTTAATTATAGAGCATTTAATAGTTAATACAAATACTACATGTAAGCAATCCCAAACTTGAATTTGAAATTGGAACAACCAAATGTAATAGATTAGTGTTTGGGTGGATCCCATGTTAAATGTCTGATTAGTTTTATTGACCTTTTTTCCCCTAGGTTGACTAAATTGAAACGCTATACAAAAATTGATCCACAGGTCAAAATGTCCTCATATTAACAACCAAATGCCTCATTAAAACTATGCAAACTGAAGGACCAGAACAGAAAAGCTGAAAGCAACACTACAATTCATTTTCCCGAACATTTAAAATGGAAAACAATGGATTTCATTTAGGGAAAAAAAGAAAAAAAAAAAAAGACAGTGGATTTCATTATGTTTATTGCAAAACTAAAAAGTCATGTGATCTCTAATAACAGCTCAGGCTGCTCAACCACAACCTTTACAGGAAGAACTGGAAACCATTCAATGACATGTTCCGGCACGAGAAAAGAACCACCGAGAGGCAAGAGAGTCCGCCAGATACATTCCGATTTCCATCATTCAGAGACATGCTGAATTCTGATTCTCATCCTCACCTGCTGGTTGTGTATTGAATCTCAGCATGTTCTCTCAACCACTCCAGCACTTTGGCTCCCTCTAGTATCTCCTGAACCTATAGAATTCCGGAAAAAGAGGAAGATTATACCCTTATCAGCACCTGTTACACATATAGGATCTACACTGCAATCACCAAGAGAGCATTTTGGGTTTAGAAATAAAAAATGTGTGATAAAGAGTATCAAGCCCTTCCATTTTAATAGTGTTAGGTTTGTACAACCATTATGAAACACCTTCACCAGTCTTCGAACTTCAAAAGAGGGCATTTTACGGACAATTTGCTATTGAACATGCATGCACATTACAGGGGTAGGGTTTGGAAGCAACCGAAAGAGCACAGCAACAGCATTCCCCTTCTTTAAAAGGTGGATTATACTAACCTGTTCTTTCACACGTTCCTCGTCATATTCTTGTTTATGACGTTTGAATTCAGTGATGGAGTTCTCAACCTCCTTGACCAAATCCTCTGTTGAAAACTGCACAACGATCCAACTTATAAAGTCATTGTCATATAAACACATGCTTCCTCTAAGGAGATCTTATTTTTATTCAACATTATGAGGCTGGATAATCACGTATAGTTATTCTAATTGTATCAAATGGATGGCAGCGTACTCTACCCAATTACCATTTGTGAAACACATGCAAAATAATAGGAAGCAATGCTTCAATAAACAGAACATGAACAATTTAGTAAACAGATGAGGAGTTTATCCCAATACAAAATATGTACCTGCAAATTTTCACGTTTAAATATATCCCCAATGGCAAGATTCTGCTTTATCACATTCGTTATATTCTCCTTTTGGTTTTCCAGGAAATCATTTACGGCCTTTGGACTTGATAGAGATGCTAACTGCTGTTCGTTTAGTTTCATGTTTGCCTACTCCCAACATAGTGTTAGAGTGAGAATGCATATAAACAAAGAAAAAAGAAAGACGAAGAGGGGGTGAGGGAGAGAAGACATAGGGTGGGTTTATTTGTTCTGAGTACGTGGTGCAAACAAGATGCAAATTTTTGGGATTCACAGCTACTGGTTGGGTGCCCTAAAGAAAACAGGCAATATGTGCGAGCTGACCTGCATTTGCAAAAGTCTGGATCCATATAGCTGCCTGCCTTGTTCCTCAAACAAGGATCGAGGTATGTTGACATCAATCATCTGAAAATTACAAGAAAATGTTACATATTAAGTGGAAAGAGAGAGTCAAAAAGCAAAGAAGGGGAGTAAAATAGGTAATGCATATAGAGAGAGAGGATCCTAGTTTCAAACAACTTTTCTTCCCATTGGACTAGTCAAATATTGTGTAATAATTGAATGCAATTCCTTTTTTACTTTCCGGTCCGAACAGTTCCTCTAAGTTGACAAACAAGTAATTGAATTGAAAGTTTTAGTCCTGCATTAGAGAATTGTTTTGTGGATCTCCATGGGATCTGCTGAGAAATAAGGCACAACACCTACTCTCGAGCAACTATAGTCTATAGAAATGCCAAGTGCAACAGCATGCACCTAATAGAATGAAAAACCAGCAAAAAATCTCCATGATAATATGATATGGAATGCTCATGCATGACATGCATCAAGAAAAAGAAGAAGAAAAGATACACCATGGAAAACCATTGTTCAGTGAAATTCAGGGATGCATCAACCAAAAGCCACTAGAGATGAATTGAATCTTAATGCTTCTATAATTCTATTGAGAACCCAAAAGGAAAAACAAAGATAAAAATAAAAAATACCTTGCGAAGCTGGTCTAAAATGGCATTATCTGTTGCTTGTTCTTTAGCTGTTTGCTCTATTTCTAAGCATCTTTGCAGCAAGGATTCTTTGACCTGTGTGAATATGTAGCAGAAAATTTCATTGCAGCATCTTATGATTTAAGCAGAATGAAATTGAGAGCCACGCAAATGCAACACCTCACCTGCGTAAGGGTGGTGCATCCTGGAAGAAGCTTATCAGCAATGGAGTCATTCAACTCTGGTAGATCTCTATAGAATAGTTCTTTACATTCAACCTAAGTGAATGGAGCACAAAAGGGAATATATATAAAAAAAATCTATTAATGCATATTTTATGTCATCCACATAACAATAAAAATTATAACATGAAAGTTTGTTGGCTTGACACTGACACAACGAAAAAAAGCCTGGTTGTTTTTTGAAAAAGTAAAGCAATTTGAAAAGCGATTCTAGTTCAAGAAGCAATCCTGCCATTTTTTCTATTTAACTCTTTCTTAGTAATGTTCAGCAAAGTTATGTGAAAGCAAGCCGTTCTAATATTTCATTATTGCATAAAAATCAGGAAACATACAAGAAGAAATTTGGTCAAATTTTCAGGAGATCGATATATTGAAATTTTGAGTTCACTGTCTGCTGATACTAGGTAATTCAGGCCAAAACAGATACCAAGCCAGCAAAAAACTTGACAATAATTCACAAATCAAATAGCATGTAGAAATGAAATGGCAAAAGGCCATAGAATATAATGACTATACACATACAATCTATTAGTGTCTGAAGGCAGTCATTTTCATTTTTTCCTTGATACTTGGATTTCTTAAAACTAGAAGGAAACTCACTGTAAATTGAGCATGAACACCATGGAGATTTTCTTGTTTCCATGATTCAGGAAATTTGAGTGGAAAGGACTTTGTTTCACCTCGTTGAATTCCATTTATTGAATCCAGGAAACCTGGAAGGACCTTATCTCCATCTTCTGTATCAAACTGAAAACCTGCAAAGAACAGCAATGAGGTAGGAACCAGTTGAAATAATTTGATCAACAATAAATTTCATAAGGTGAAACAACTGAATTGCAATTTATAAGAGGTTTCAGACTCATAGGACAATAGAGCTCTAGGATTAGGATATCTTGATACTTGCACAATTAATTTTTCCTATAAAAGGAAAAAGAATAAAGAGTAGTGAGAAAATCAATCAAAGATAATTTGGCCATATGCAGCAACAGCCAATAACTAAACCAGTGAGTACAGTGATGTGGTTGTTTCTAAGGGAATTACTAGGGGAATGGAAACACCGAAACTAACATGATTTGAGATAATTAGGAAAGATACTTAACATATGGCTTAACAAAGGTTATGGCCTTAGCCGAATGGGGAAAGAGGACTCATTTAAGTATGTAACCCACCCAAATAGTTAGGAAAAGGCTTCATTGAGTTGAGTATCCTGAAGATATAAGAATCGTCCTTAATAACGAATTATTCTGAAAAAAGATGCCATAATGCTCCCCCGTACAGTACAGATATATCAATGGTAACTCTAATTCATCATTTGGTCCCCTGTGGAGATAAATCTAAGTAAAAAAAGTATCCCAATCAGGCACATATTATCTGACCCAAGGCATGTAATAAGCATTCAAAATAATAAATAGATTCACATCGTAGTGGACTTCGAATCAATCAGATCGGTTAAGACCACTATGACACTGATAAACCGAAGATCTTCATTATTATGCACATCTAGTACACTGTAAGCCAGGAAAAGAAAGGATGGGTTCTTTACCAGTTTCTCAATCATTTTCATTTTCTCACTATCTTAGTACTAAAAGGCATCTGTAGACCAATCCAAGCTATGTTTCAACAGTGCTAATATATAATTCCTGTCTTGCTATGTCGATATCTACGCGGGGTCTGGATACTCATGCTTTTAAATCAAGTTGCAGATTTAACGTGGTTTAAATGCCTCAGATCCAGGGTATAGACTGACACTCATATGCGTCCTTTTACATATATTCTGGGCCTTCTGGCCATCAATTTTTTGTCAGGTATCTAAGTCTAAGACTGTAAAAGTAGAAGAATACTCATGATGATATGCAGCATAAATAGTTTATGTTGACATAAATTGAAGCTTAAGTGCATGTGGACAAACCTTTACTCTCTGCAGATGGAATTTTTTGAACATTTGATTCATCTTGATCAATTGTTGTCGCTGATATATCAAGGACCACAACATCACCGATCTATGGAAATTTCAAGTCTGTTAAAGTAGCACACCTCATATGGCAAGTGATAAAGTTATACATGCAACCATTTTAGTTCCTCAACTAAATCTTAAATAACAGGGACACTCCTTTATGATCACTATATGGAAAGTGCAATGAGATAAGAGTATAAAAAAGAAAGTACCTTAACAAATCATGCAGTTAACTTGATATAATCAATTATCTGAATAAAAACACAGTTCATGATCTCTGATAACATAAAACAGTGATAAGATGTAATGCAACTTGGGATAAGATGTTAACGAGCTTGGTCGGTAAGGCATAATGGTGGTTGAACCATATCCTACGGCTCGAGTCTCCAAAGGAGCCTGAACCCTCTTTTCATTCTTTGTCCCCACTTGCCTATCTACCAAAATAACAAATAGAGCAATGGGAGATAAAAGGTCTAGAGCTATGTTTAATGGACTCTTCTAAATTAGTGAAGCACCTGTCTCTGACATAACACATTTATATGGTATCAGATGTGTCCCTTACAAAATAGAAGAGAATATTGAGAATATACTGTGTCAATGTTTTCTTCAATTTGGAATTTTGATAAATCTGCCGCTTGTACACATCCGTGCACACGATACATGTAAAATAGATCTAAAGATGCTTTCATACTTCAAACATTTGGAAACCCATATGAAGACACATTCAAACATATTTGCATCAAAATTATTACTCAATATCTGAATTTTTGAAGAAACAAACCCCACACCTCCAAGGACACACAATATTCTTCACAAAAAAAAAAAAAAAAAAGGGGGTATATGAAACATAAGAATACGCGACCAGCTCAGTAAATTTCATTCAGTTGCATTAGCTATTGCATTGCTATAACTAACATAAATCTTCCACACAAGATTAATAAATGATAATAGCATCATTTTCTGCAGAGCATTGGTCATGAATCTATCTGGTATTTATTTTCCTTCGAATCAACTAGTCTACAAAGCTTCAAAGTAGAAATTAAAATAAATTCCAAAAAGAGAGACAAAACTGAAAAAGCATCTGCAACAACTTTACATGGTTACCTGCATGCCTCTGTCAGTTACAATTCTCAGCAATCCTAGGGATTTGTGGCGACGTCGTAATTCTTGTTCAGAAGCTACATGAGCGTCTATGTCACTGTCTATCTCAACAGCAATTTTCAAATTCTTGTATCCATTCTCAGGATTCCACTTGACTTCAGGAGCCACATCAACAATGACATCATATCTGGACCATAAATCAGCATGCACAACCATGACAAGTTCATATGTAAAATACACACATGGGAGCTAAGACAATCATATTTCCTTACTAATGCCTCTCCTTTAAATACACAAGGCCAATATTGTTAAAATCTCCTTTAGGTGCTATGACCACTTAATGTGACTAGGCAACTGGATTCTTCTTTATGCTAAGTGCGAAAAACTAGGGTACAGGTTTCAAGGTTCAGTTACCCAATGTTCCTAGAGTAACAATATTAAATAAACATAGAATTTTTTAAATGATTGATTAAGAGGTTATTGCCTTTGTGCTTCACTATGCTATAACAGAGAACAAAAACACAAGTGCAGATATGTGTGCGCGCACACACGCACACACACACACACACACAAAAGAACGCTTTCCAACAAGACACCACTTGTAGAGAAAAGGGTACTCTAATTTTGTACTTTAATTTTCATCATTTTATTTTATTATTGAACTTAAAAGTTAATTCTTTTCTAAATGCGTATTGTTATCCAGTTTTTATTTGTTAATAATAAGAATATCTCAATCAGCACTAAGCTCTTCTATTAGTTCAAATACATTCAAGTTTCATCATACAAACCAATAAGTAATTAGATTTCATCTAAGCAGACCAGAAGGTACTTAGGCTATCAACAGGATCCTCATCTAGCCTTGCCATGAGTTTTGACAACAAAGAAGAAGCACTGGTGGCAGGTAACTGCTACTTTTATTCCTTATTTTGTTTTTTTTTTTTTTTTCATTTTTTCAATTGTTTGTTACTGAGCTAAACACTAATTCTACTACTAAACGTGAAACTGGTTGAACCAAGAACATGTAAGAGCAAGGTTTTCTTAAAGTGAATGTTTGACAAACCTCAGGAAGTTGAGAGAAGAATAGGTCTTTTCCATGTCAGAAAATTTGGTTACAATGCGAATAGAGTCTTTCAATGCCCTTCCAGTCACCTATGAAACAAAAGACGCATTAAGAGCCAGTTAATAGGCATAATCCTCTAGTAATACCCTAGGATAAATCTACTACATTAACCACCGGATTCATTTGACATAAATAGGCAGACAGCGAAATATAATTTCATCACACTATATCTCATGAAGGAAGCTATGTTAGTCATCATTTGAGAAGTCTTAGTACAATTCCTAGTTGTTTTAAATGGAGGGATTGGGATGGGGGGTGTGGGTGTCACTTAATACCACCAGTACGCATCAATCTTTCTATAGGAAAAAACATTGTATGTGTTGCCAGCTCACAAGTCATAACATATTACATAGCTGATTTTTCTTTTTTTAACTACAAATGAAACACATCTTGAAACATATCTAGCAATTTGCAAAAATCAAAATTGATGCATATCATATAGATGATCATATCAGCGTGTCTCATAAAACAAAGAAGAAGAAACCAAGTAAAATCTGAAAGGTTTAAATCAAGTTAACTAATCTAATAGGCGATTTGCATGGAGAATCCAAAATGTAAAAATAAAAACAATAAATGGATACAAAAGAATAATACAACATACCAAAGACATAGCATGTGGAAGGGTTCTTTTCAAAATAGATTCAATTGTAGCCTTTTGGACATTTTGCTTCCCTACGTAAGTAATCAGAATATTGTCTGGAATATTCTTTCCCGGGCGGAATCCAGGGACCTGAGAATACAGCCAATTTGTAGCATGAATTCACACTTATTTTCACAAGCCAAATAATATGAAAACATTAATACAACATTTCTATATCTGTGAGATCTGTGTTTGATTTAAGATTATTCTATTTGCCAATGTGAAGCACAAAATCCTTCAATTTGCATAAATGAATGAGATGAAAGTTTCCTTTTTCCCAGTATGCATCTGGAATGACAAAATTACTAAATCTTGGAAGTTTCTCATTACACAAAAGTCATGTTCCGGATTTAGCACTAAAATATTGTGGTTTCTTTGAGCTTGGGAAAATTTTAGATAACAAGATGTTGACTGGGTCCTCGAATATAACAACTACAGTCCATGAAAAAATGGTGGAGTGAATGAGTTTTTTTCGTCACAAAATCACTGTGGAGTGAATGCGTTGTATGCGTTTAATCCCAGTAAATCTTATAAAAGCATCTTATATTACACAGAACCCAACAGTACCTTTGCCTGCTTCAAGAACTCCTTCATCACCCTTCTATAACAATCCTCACAGACAACAGGAGGAACTTCTACACTCAACCTAACCTGCAGATACAAACATATATAATAACATAGATGGGCTATTTTTTTTGTCCTCAAGTGAATAGGAAATATCAAAACATTCAAGCTATGTTTGGTAACATGGAATTGGTGCCGTGAAATTGGAATTCAATAATAATAATAATAATAAAAAGCTCAAACTGTGAACTATTTTTTCTCGAATTCCTATTCAGATGCACCAATTCCATATACGAACATATATAATAACATATATGGGCTATATATATATATATATATATATATATATAAAGTGAATAGGAAATATCAAAACATTCTTGCTATGTTTGGTAGGATGGAATTGGTGCATTTGAATAGGGACTCGAGAAAATTTTGAATTACTATTCAAATGCATCAATTCCATGCTACTGAATAAAAAGAAAGATAAAATCACTCTATTCAAACAGCTCAAAGAAAAGGTTCAATAATGTCCAGTGACAAACAGATATTATAAAGCAGCCTATATAGACATACTGAGAAGTTCTATGGACACATACATTTTGAGTTGGGCGGAGAAATATAAGAAACGCCCAATTAGCTAGTGATGATTGTAAGTGCATATTGAAATTGGGAAGAAAATAAAAATAAATGAATATCTACATTGATTCACAATTAATTACTTAAAAAAAAAATTAAAGTAGATAACATTACAAAAACTCACTCTGGAATTGGGTTCTTGGGTTTCTGTGACCTTGATCTCAGCCGGAAGTGGGTCTTTCTTCACATCATCGAGAGCAGCCGTTGATGCCGAAACGACGAAGCGGGTCGAAATGATTGGAGAAGGGGGTTGGGTGAGAGAGAAATGGCGGGAAGAGGATGATAGTTTTTGAGAATTGAAGAGTCTGTTGTTGTTGGTGGGTTGAAGAAGAGAGCTAGAGAGAGAAAGAGATGAGGTAGGAGAGAGAAGAGAGGGTTTGAATTGGAGGAACGTCGGAGTTGTCGGAGAACTACAGAGCTCCATTTGTGGTCTGAGTATAGAGCAACAAGCTACTGAAGATAGACGAGGTCACGGGAAGATAGTTTTGCGAAGTAGATAGGATGGACATAGAAAACGACGGCGTTAGATTTGATGCTATGGTCAATCAGGGGGGGAAAAAAAAATTAGCATTCTATTTGGGATTTCTTTATAGTTAAATTGGATCAAGATAATACGTGTTGAAGATGATAAATACAATTTGTGGATTTAGTTAAGAATTTGAGAATTTTCTTTTACCTTTCTAGAAAATTCAATTTTTATAATATATTGAACTGGAAAATGATAAAAATAATTTTGAAAAAAAAAATGATTGGGGTGTAATTACGGTCAATTATGGTGTAAGTTGGTGGAATATATATGCACTAAAATAAAGAATAAGTAATTTCTAATTTTCTATGTAAGGTAAGGAAAAAAAAAAATTTAAGAAATTTTTATATAAGATAAGGAATAAAAATAAAATAAAATAGAGAGAAATAACTAACTAAACAGTTGCCACTTCTTTTCGTACCAATATCACCAAATTCAATTGATGAGGTTTATGAGCAATGTCAAAAGTTTGTAAATTTAAGTTGCTATTAAGTTAATGAGTGGGTATGAATTCATAGGAGTAGCCTAACCTCAATTTGTAAGAACTATGTTCACATCGTAAAGGTCAGAAGTTCAAATCCTCTTTAAATTATTCTTAAAAAAAAAAAAAAAAAATCCCGTATGTTATTTGTTTGGAAAAAGTATATATTGTGTGCCAATGTTACATCATCATCCTTGTTCAATCAAAGGAGTGTGGTTCATTTTATAATATTTGCTTATGGTTTGTATTAATTCGTAATTTCTGTTAGCTAAAACTAATATTTTGAGAAAATGGGCTCTGCCTACATAAACTCGCACTCATCGGTTAAATTGAAATTCAATTCAAAAAATCCTTGCAAGTTATATGGTGAATCGTGTTTGGTTATAAAACTGGGTGTGAGCATATGTGTGTTGCTAGTGGGTTTTTTGATATATTTCTTTGCTCTGTCAAGTCGGTGTATAACTTGAGTGGAAATTCAACAGTAATTTTTCCTGTGATAGTGAAAAGTTTGTCCCTGGGTTTTTTCCACGTAAATATTTGGTGTCTCTGATTTGGTTGCATAGTTGATTGTTTGAATTTATATTTTGAAGGTTATTTCTCTTATCCCAAATTATTTGGAATCAACAAGTGGTATCAGAGCCGAGGTTGCACGTTGGTGATCTATTTTTGAGGCTAATATGGAAAACATACAACGGTGTGATGATAAAATTGACGGCTTCAAACTATACGATTTGGGAGCCTAGAATGAAGGATATCCTATTGTAAGGATTTATACGACCCCATTGAGGGTGATAGTGCCAAGCTCGCAAAAAAAGTATGCCAAAGTCTGGATTTAGACCAATAGGAAAATTGTGGGACTAATCAGACAGTGTATTTTCACCATGTTTCTGAGGAGACTAATACTTAAGGTCTCTGGAAGAAATTAGAGTCATTGTAGGAGAGGAAAGTTGTCCATAATAAAGCATTTTTAATAAGAAGATTGGTGAATTTTTAAGTTCAAGGAAGGGAATTATGTTGTAAAGCACATGAGTGATTTTCAGAGTTTGGTGAATCAGATAACCACAATGAAGATGTGTTGGATGATGAGTTACAGGCATTGTTACTTGTGAGTTCATTGCCTAACAGTTGGGAGACTTTGGTGGTATCACTCAGCAATCTAGTTCCAGATGGTAAGTAACTTTGAATGTGGTGAAAGATTGTACGTTCAATGAAGAACTACGACGAAAGGATGTTGATGGAAATCAACCTAAGACTCAAGCTCTTGTCGCAGAGGATAAAGACAGCAGAAGGTCCAGAGGAAAGTCGTTTCAGAGGCAAGTTATAGTCTAGAGATGAGAGTTGTTTCACAGGCCAGTCACAACCTATAGATGAGAGAGCGTATTTTCAGGGTGACAATATATGTCATATAAAGAGATTGATTTTGTTTGCATTGGCTAAAATAACAAGATGAAAAAGAAAATAAGAAAAATAATAGTGTAGACGTCACCACAGCTGCTATAACAATAAAGAGTTGGAGGGGCAAAATAGAAACAAAAAGGTGACATGGAAGCGTGATAAGAATCTCTCGAGTGGCACGACTTCATTAGTTTAAAAGTATAAAGTTGAATTGTACTTATGTTGAGTAGTTAGAGTTGAAGGTATGGTAGTTACAATTCCGAATAATGCATTGGGGTCAGAGGGATACAAGTTGTTGGTTATAACATACATTCAGACCGTCCGATTGGGTATCGGACCACACTCACGGAATCACATAACACTACATATTAAAACACTCTTCGTTACTCTAAAATGAAACTTGAATAAGTTTAATTCAAAACTCTCATTTTCTTTCAAGAATTAAATCTTTTATACATTAAAATGCTTGACGCTTGACACTAATATTGGTCGCAAATCGATGTTGAATGATCTATGTCGTGTTCTTGATTTGCGTCTCAATCTCATTTCTGGAATTACATTAGATCGGCTGGGTTATCAAAACTATCTCGGTAATGGAAAGTGGAAACTCACCAAGGGTTCACTGGTGGTAGCAAGATGAACGTCGTGTTGTACGTTGTATCAGACACGTGCAAAAGTGGTTATGGATTATTTTGTTGCAATCAAAACAAAGTGTTTCGTTGAATTCATAACATCAACAAGAAGCAACCACAAATGAGAAACTAGTGCAGATTTGTGTTCTTGATATAAAAAGTTTTGATCAATGAGAGTGGTTGCGTACTCTAATAAAGATTGCAGAACCTCAGTAGAAGGGGTGTTTCAGAAAACATGTGTTTTCGGTCAAATATAGTACTTTGGGTATCAAGGGCGGATCCAGGGTTTCTGAATAGGGTGAGCTAATTTTAGATTGAGTTAATTTTGGGTGGGCTAATATTACATTTTTTTTTTTGGGGGGTGTGGGCTGAAGCCCACCTTCACCCACCCCTCACTCCGCCCTTGCTGGGTATATTGGGTTTGCTGAATAAGGGAATATAGGAATTGTTCAAGGAGTCTAAGCTCTCCGTCAAGATGGTGGGGGAGATTTGGAGGCCGACTATGAGATTCTCAAAATTTTTAGAGCCCCTATAGAAACTTTCAATTGTGAATTTTTTTAGTCTTGAACACAATGATGAAAATTCATAGATATTATACTTTTTACAGCATAGTTCGAAAAAAATAGATTTTTAGTGCATTTTGATGAATTCTATTGAACTTTAAAGATTATTTAGCAAAACAATGACTTAATAATTAATTTTTAAGTTGTTGCCATTATAAAAAAATGCATAGTGTTATTAATGAATTTTTTAAGTTCAATGATTTTTTTTCGTATTTGATACTCACATACATATGTCTCAATGATCAATCTCCTAATATTCATTTATAAATTAAGGACCAAGTACAATAAGAACGTTAACCTTTATTAGCTTTGAAATTGAATGACACTAGTTTAAATATATTTATTGTTACTTAAACAGTTTGTTTTTGTGGCTTTATTTTGAAATTAGAACATGGCAACACGTTTTGGGCCTTTGTGGGTCGGTAAACCATGGTCCCAACTGACAATAGCATTGCACGCAATCCTAAATTTGGGATTTGTTGGGTTGTTTCACCCACAAGTAGAGCGTGAAAAAAATAGAGGGTTTAGCTCCAAGTATGAGGAAAAATAGAGGGTTTCTTTGTTCTTGTATTTACTCACCTCGGTGTATGACTTGAGTTATTTGGGACCAAATAAAGTTTTTGTATGGTACTTCTGATCAAAAAATTAATCTAATTAAATTCGTACTTAATGAGTAGGAGAGTAATGGCTAAAATTTGTCTTTATGACACTTTGAAAAGAAACAATCTTCAATGAATTTCGTTTCAAATAAGGGCGGATTCAGCATTTCTGAATGGAGTGGGTCAACTTTGGATTGTACTAATTTGGATGAGTTACCACTAGTAATTTTTTTTTTTTTGAGGCTGGGCTTAAAGTAGTGTGGCAAAAAAAAATTTGGCTGAAGCCCACCCCTAGGTCCTCCAAGCATCTTTAAAATGGCATCCTATTATTAAAAAGGTGTAATCTAATTGCTTGTTTAACCAATTGTTGTATAATTTAATGCACAACTTAATCCAAACAGAAATAATGTCAATTTCAAAGACGAAATTTGGTGAACGCCTATTTTAATGTCACTATTTGATGTTGATTTAGTGATATTTGGAGAGAAAAATTACAGGACAGAATCCAAATCCAAAACCTTTTGCTATTTGACATCGTAATCCAAACAATAACAAAAAATTCATATCTAATAGAGAAAATTATCTGTCAAACTTAACGAAGTCCAAAAGGATTAAATAAAATACAAAATAGAATGAAACATAAAAAGGATGAGTGAAATAGAAGTCACCAGGCAAGTGCAACAGCACATGAAAAACTAGTAAGTTGTAAATATTCTAGCTTTTTTAGAGTATTCTTTTTAGAACTCAATTATAGAATTTTATAAATCTTGGTTGGATATGACACTTGCAATAATTTTAGTCTATAAAAAGGGTGGGAGTTGCTGATGAAAATAGAAGACATAATGATTCCTATAAATAACAATAATATGTATGTTAGAATTGTCTATGCATAAACCATGGCAGAATGTACTGTAAATTAGTTATGACCATATCAATTCACATGGAATCGTGAAAATCCAGATGACGAGATGGTGGGTGATATTAACATAAAGGTGGCAGAATCAATTCACATGGAATCGTGAAAATCCAGATGACGAGATGGTGGGTGAGGGATACCGATGGTGATGATCATCGTGAAGGGATACAATTGTCACTAGCAAACAACGAGGGAGGCTCCTAAGAATGTATATGCCTACCATTCAATTGGTTTTGTAACAAATTCAATAATTTTTTAATATTTTAAAATCTTCCAACCCTTTTTATAATATTTCCATGAATACGTATTTTTGGATGTCCAGACTAGTTGATAGTTTCAAATTACAGTGTCTCCACAATTTTATTAAAACAATAAAACATCTACACTCACACATAAAATTATTAGTTACTTTTATTGCAAAATGACGACCACAATGATTTTTCTTTAATGCGTATCACGCATACTTATTTTATTTGGAACTCCTCCATATTAAAAGTCCAGCTTTAAAATTTAAATCCATGACCCCAAATCCAACATTAATTTAAAAAAACATCTGACATTGTCAAAAATATTGTAGGAACCGGTAGAGAATGGAATGAGAAAGAGTAAATAAAAATGAGAGGGGTTTGCGTCCAACCTCCAGCATTTGACCCAGGTTTGTTCTTCCAGACGGTTCCAAACCTTATAATTATTTCATTATTGAAAGTTTTATTTCATTGTCTGTATTATTACACTATGAAGTTCCCAAACAGTAGTAGTCAAAAATAAATTCATGGTGCTGTGCATGCAGTTAATAATCCAGTTATGTACTTTTATGTCTATAAATTCAATTCGTGATAAAAGAAACTCATGAATCGAAGGCACACGACAAAACCAAAACTGTTGAGAGTATATAAATCAATGTCCTGTATAAATTCATACCAGTTAAAGCCAATTCCTTCAAAATGAGCACACTTGAATTTGAGCATCACGCATGCTTGGGTGTGTAAAAAGAAACCTCATTTCCACACCCACAATTGAATCTGTGCACGACCAACAAATTATACATGCCGTGGGTATAAAAACCAACAAATAGGTGTAGGTATGAGCGACGACTACGCAAGCTGGGATAGAAAACTTCATTAGATTTTACCTACTGTTTGTATCATTTTTTGAACTGTGTTTATAAATTTAAAAGATGCAACAAAGCCCATTGAGGCACTATTTCGCAGATGACAATAAATAAGCTGAAAATGTATATAAAGAATCTCTATGGAAACAGTATCCAAACCTTATCTAACATGGAGAAAGGGTACCTCTTCTTCCATCTCTCACAAGCACATGCAAATTTTTTAAAAATTAATCCAGAATGGGTACCCTACCAAGTCATTCCTTATGCTCCAGAGCCTTAGTCTACCATCCTATTGCCCACTGTTACGCCAACTTCAGCTGGCCGAATAACTCGATCGTACAGCATGTATCCCGACTGCAATGAAAGCACAATCAGGAAATATTAAAAATTGTTTTAATTACGAAGATACGCTCGATGAAACATTTTAACCACAATATGCACCAATATATATATATATATATATATATATATCAGAACTACTGTGACCACCCCCTGTTCATTTTCTTTCATTTTTCAAGTTCAAAAACAAAGTGGCAGGACTTTCCATAATACTTAAGAAAAAAATGGATCGCAATTATTTACCTTCAATACAACAGCAACTGTTTCAGGCGGCCTGGTAGCATCTGGTACTTGGAACACTGCATTATGCTTATGAGGATCAAATTGCTCATTTGTAGGATCAAACTTTTCCACGCCAAACTTTTTGAACACCTGGAATCATGAACATCAATAAGCCCGATAGGGAAAACCTCCAAGTTAATCATATCATAAAGCCCATCTTAGCACATAATAGGACATGATGGAACATCAATTACAACTTGCATGGGCTAGAACTCAAACAAGCTGCTAATATGAAATCTTTCTGAATAACACTAACACGGGCATCCACCTGTGGAAAGCTGCCTAAAATGCCTAGGCAACTATGCCTAGACAGACATGATACTTATAGTCAACTAAGACATGATATAGGTAATCAAATAAGTATTTTGGGGGCACTTGCCAAGGCACCTGCACAGCTTGATTCTAACGGCTTTGGCAACAGTATTTTACCAGTTTTTTGCCCTTAAAAAGAAGTATCTAATATCTGTTTTTATTCAACACACATACACAAGTAGGGAGAGTGGCCATTCGTGCTCCAAATTTTGCTTATTTTATATAGACACTTCAATAACAAACTATAACGACCAAACCATCATTTAGCATATGCTATGATGGAAGGCACATATGTGGAGAATGCTCATCAAAAATTTGAAGGGACTAAGCAAGAGAGAGAGAGAGAGAGAGTTGAAGTATAAAAAGCATATGAGCCTTCACAGATTTCCCTCGACACACCAAAATCCCAAAAAGAAAAATTCCCAGAAACAGGAATATATATATATGTATATATATATATTAAGATTCTATCATTTGAACTACAGAAATTGCTTTCAACCAAGTTGGTTCTTTAGAGAAGGAAGAGGAGGAGAAGAAAAGCCCAATCCACTCTAAACGTATACGTTGCAATCATTGCTATGTTTGTGGGCAAAACAATTGTGTGAAAAATGCTTCAAATCAGGATGTTCCACTCCCATATAATTTGGGCCAGGAAGAAAGTTCTAAAACATGGTAGTGGTTGCAGGGTCCAACAGAGATTATGTAATGTTGTGAGTCGTGAATTTTTTTTTAACATCGCGAATCTTGATGAAAACGATAAATACACAACTTAAGAGATAATTTTATAAATTAAAAATTTGGGGGGGGGGGGGTATAATTTTTTTTCATATATACCTAAAAAAACACGAAATAGTGGCGGGGCAGGCCAAGGAGGGCAACGTGCCCCCAGGCCTACATTGGCTCTGCCCTTGAACATAAAGCGCTCGTGTATAATGTCAAAATTTCAAGTAGCTATGGTTTAATTATATACATATACATTTTCATATTTAATAAGGTAAAACTCAGATAATTAGGTTAAGAATTATATAAAATAAATAAATTCTTTTTTGTTATGTGAACAGAAGTTCGTGTTCCTCTTCTGTTGATTTAATTTCTTGTTGGGGCCTTGAACCCCGGTTCCTTTGTCCACAGGACGCGTTCCCCTATTGAACACCCTTTTTAATTTATTATTACTTATCAAAAAAATAAATAAATAAAAAAGGAACACAAGATTTAGATAACAAAAATGTTCCTAAGAGTCGAACATGAGCTAATTTAATATTTACATAGTGAGTGTGGTAGAAATACGAGTATTGAGATGGATGTGTGGTAAGACTAAAAATGATAGAATTAGAAATTATCACATTTGGAAGATGGTTGGAGTAACAACAATTGGAGATAAAATGGGAGAAAAATTGATTAAGATGGTTTGGACATGGGCAAAGAAGGCCTTTAAGTGCGCCAGTTAGGAAAAGTGACATAGTCCACATTGAGAATAATACCAAGGGCACGTTTGGCATAGCTTTTGCTTCTACTTTGACACAGAAGAAAAAGAGAAGCAGAAGCTATCACTTCCATTTGGAATATGTGTTGGTGTTGGGTAACTGTATTTTAGAAGAGCTTTCAATGATGGAAGAGTTTTTCGTTTAGCACAATATTTGTTGGATCTATTCTACTATTGAAATAACTATTTCGCCCTTACATGGAATGTTTTTAATTGGTGATATAAATAATCCATTAAAATTACCATTAAAATTAAATTATGAGAGCATAACATATCAATACAACTCAACATTTTATAAATAATCCATTCAAATTAAATTATGAGACCATATCATATAACACAACTCAAAATTTATTTAAGCACAAGGTCAGTAGCATTTTTATCTTAAATAACGACAATGGGGACCTGTCATCTACTGACCAAAAAAAAAAAAAAATTTGATCAGATTAAAAAGAAACTTTGGGATTGGTAAATCACACCAATTAAGAAAATAAATTAATAATAAATATATACTATTTATCAACTTATATCACTTTGTATTTTGTAAATAATATATACATACATATATATATATATATATTGATCTACCAAGAAAGCAGAAAAAGTAAATACTTGTGAAGATCGAAGAAACAGTGGTTATGGATGGGCATGAAATTGTACATTGTACTGCTGATTAAAAAGGTTTCTGTTTCCCTCTATGACAATTGCAAAGGCAGAGAGAGAAAAAAAGAAACACACACAAAATAAGTGAAAAACTCATATATACGAATACGTGAAAAACTCAACCTGCTAAAACCAAGAAAATATTCATAATCACTGAAAATAATAGTATTATTAAAATCATTAACAAACTGCAAGACCTTCAACAGAACAAAATAAAAAAATCAAACCATATTTCTACTGATTGGTAGAAATTTCTCTAGATTGGAAACACAAACCCTAATTTTAGAGTGTGTTACAAGATTGTAAACCAAGAATAAGAGATGAGAAAGCCACAACTGAAATTATAGTTTTGACAAAAGTCCATGGCAGTCGCAACCGAGCTGAGAAGAGAAAAGTGTGTTCTTGTTCCTAGGGTTTGTAGAATATAAACAGGATACACTTCGAATTTCAATTTTTTACTCACAAACATTAAGGGTATAAAAGGAATTATGAAAGTTTCATTAAAGGGAAACTAGCTTCCCGTGTTTTCCAGGAAGAGCGTTTTGCGGAAGCTAGTCCCCCCCAGCTTCTGCCCAATGCTCTGTGCAGTTCAAGGATTTCTGGGAATGATGAGGAGGCTGTGAAGCCGTTGAATTGCTGTTCCCCTTCTTTTTCCGATGGGTGGAAGGGAGATGCAGATTCCTCTTTTGAAGGGGATATGGGCTTGGTTCAGTGGGAAGGGGGTGAGTTTGATTTTGGCTTGTTTGAACCTTTGGCTGTTATGGGGCCGGAGGGGGATTGTTTGGAAGCATTTGCTACTGGCATAGGTAAGGAGAGGCCGAAAGAGGAGTGGCTGAGAGAGAAGAGTGGTGAGTTGGGTTCTCTTTTGGGAGGGTCTTTCGAAGGTAGGATGGATGAGGCGATGAGGCTGTTTAATGAAGTTCTTGATGCTCAGCTTGTGGATAGGGTGACGAGTAGGGTTGGGTTTCAGGCTGAGGTGGGGGAGAGGGAGGTGAAGAGTCCCAGTGATGTCGTTACTTATGAAAGGAGGAACAGGGGTCCAGGGAGAGGGTTGGTGGAAGGAGGAGTGGGAGTGCTTTTTCATCTGTTCCTTATGAAGCTACGAATTTTATCATGGAATGTCCGGGTCTTAATGACTCGAAGAGAGGAGAAGTTGTAAAGTCAGTTCTATGGAAAGAGGGTGGTTATGTTATGTGTTTGCAAGAAACTAAGATTGCATCGATGACGAACTTGATCGTGCGAAGCTTGTTGGGGGGGGGGGGGGATTTGTGAAGTGGGATAACCGTTGGGTTTCTTTGGTGGATTCTCAGGTGGGGTTTTTCTCTACTTCCTGTGTGTTCTCTTTGTTGGAGGACGATTTTCGTTGGGTTTTCTCTGGTGTTTATGGCCCTACAAAAGACAATGTGCGTCATTTGTTTTGGGAGGAGTTGGGAGAGGTCCATAGGCGTTAGGAGCTGCCTTGGTGTATTGGAGGGGACTTCAATGTTGTTCGTTCTCCTTTTGAGAGGTCGACGGGGGGAAGATGGACGTTTGACATGGAGTCTTTTTCGGAGTGCATTGATGTGTCGAGGTTGATTGATTTGCCTTTGGTGGGTGGTCCTTTTACTTGATCTAGTGGTCGATCTCCTCTTACTTTCTCTCGTCTTGACAGGTTCCTTGTGTCAAGCGATTGGGAGGAGAAGTTCTCGAATGTTGTTCAGGCTACCTTGGCTCGCCCTTTATCTGATCATGTTCCGTTGATGTTGAATTGTGGTGGTTTGTGTAGTAGAAGATCCCCTTTCAGATTTGAGAATATGTGGCTTCGAGCTGAGGGATTTCTGGAACGTGTTCGATCCTGGTGGGAGGGGTATAGTGTGAGTGGCTCTCCTAGTCATTCTCTTGCATGTAAGTTGTGCTTGTTGAAGAACGATCTTAAAGTTTGGAATAAAGAGGTTTTCGGTAATCTTGTTTGGCGGAAGAATAAGGTTCAGAGTTTGCTGATCTTGATCGGATGGAGGGTCAGGGCTTTTTGTCGGATTCCTTGAGACTTAGGAGGGTGGAGTGTCAGGCGGAGTTTGCTGAGATTGCTATCATGGAAGAGATTTCGTGGAGGCAAAAGTCTAGAGCATTGTGGCTCAAGGAAGGGGATAATAACACAAAAAAATTTCATAAACTTGCCAATTCTCATAGGAGGGGCAATCACATTGGGAGAATCCGTGTGGATGGGGAGGTGTTTTGTAAGGAGGAGGAGATTTGTAAGGCGTTTATTGATTACTACTCGATGTTGTTTACAGAATCTGCTGGTTGGAGACCTTTGCTCGAAGGGCTTCAGTTTGATTCATTATCGGGTGAGGAAAGCTCTATTATAGAGGAGCCATTTTTTGAAGAGGAAGTCCTTTCCGCGCTGAAGAGTTGTAACGGGGAGGTCCAGATGGTTTTTCCATGAGATTTCTCTCGGAGTGCTGAGAGGTGGTTCGTGAGGTGGTGATGGGTACTTTTCATGCTTTCTATGCTCAGGGCTCTTTTGAAAAGAGTTTGAATGCCATGTTTATTGCTCTCATTCCGAAAAAGGGAGGGGTGTTGGATGTTAGGGATTTTCGCCCTATAAGCTTGGTGGGGTGTATTTACAAGTTGATTGCTAAACTTATGGCCTCTAGGTTGAGGAAGGTCTTGGATGGTGTCATTTCTGACTCTTAGAATGCTTTTGTGGGAGGTCGACAGATCTTGGATTCAGTTCTTATTGTTAGTGAATGTGTTAACTCCAGATTGAGTAGTGAGAGTCCAAGTGTTTTGTGCAAGCTGGACATCGAGAAGGCGTACGATCATGTGAACTGGAGTTTCCTCCTCTACTTGATGGAGAGGATGGGTTTTAGGGAGCGTTAGAGGAGATGGATCATGTTTTGTATTTCCTGTGCTCGTTATTCAGTTCTTGTGAATGGAGCTCCGACCGGTTTTTTCTCTAGTTCGAGGGGGTTGTGACAAGGGGATCCTATTTCTCCGTTCTTGTTCCTTTTTGTAATGGAGGCCTTAAGTAGATTGATTAAGAGGGCGGTTGATTTGGGTTTTCTGATAGGCTTTATGGTGGGCAGGGATGCTGCCAGTGAGTTGGAGATATCCCACTTGATGTTTGTTGATGATACTTTAGTGCTCTGTGACGTTGATGCGGCTCAGTTGAGATATCTGAGATGTGTTTTGGTCTGGTTCCAAGTTGTCTCTGGGTTAAAGGTGAATGTTGGTAAGAGTGTTCTTGTGCCAGTTGGGGAGGTCCCTGAGATTGAGAGGTTTGCACAGATTATTGGTTGTCGCACTGGCTCCTTCCCTATTTCTTACTTTGGGTTGCCCCTGGGTGCTCCTTCGAGAAGTGTGGGGATTTGGGATCCGATTGTGGATAGATTCGAACGAAGGCTGGCAGGTTGGAAGAAACAGTATCTCTCTAAGGGGGGTCAGGTCACTCTGATTAAGAGTACCTTTTATTGCCTCCCCACTTATTTCATGTCTTTCTTTCAGATTCCTTCCTCTGTGGAGGAGAGGATTGAGAGGTTGCAGCGCAATTTTCTTTTTTTTGGGGGGGGGGGGGGGGGGGGGGGAGGGGAGTTTCACTTGGTTCGTTGGGAGCAAGTGTGCTGTCCAATTCGGAAGGGTGGTTTAGGGATTAGGAGGTTGTTGCCTTTCAATAAGGCTCTCCTTCGGAAATGGTTGTGGAGGTTTGGGGTGGAGAGACGTTGGCTCTGGAGGAGAGTTATCGAGCATAAATTTAGGGAGAGTGGTGGAGGATGGAGTTCTCTTGTGGTGCGTGGTCCTAGGGGTGTGGGGGTTTGGACTGCCATTCGGAAGGGGCGGAATGATTTCTGCAAGCATGTTCGTTTTCGCATCAGGGATGATAGGAAGATCAGATTTTGGGAGGATCTTTGGTGTTGGTAGCTTCCTCTTGCTCTCGCTTTCCCACGTCTCTACAGGATTACTTCTTGTAGGCAGACCATGGTGGTTGACTGCTATCATCTTGATAACGAGAGATTGACTTGGGATGTTTAGTTTAGGAGGCACTTCCAGGATTGGGAGATTGAGGAGGTCACCCAGTTTTTGGAGTAGTACCGTCAGACGATTACAGTTGGGGATCCTGATTGTTGGCTTTGGATTCCTAACCCTCAGGGTCTCTTTGAGGTGAGATCCTTTTTCAGATGTCTTACGGTTAGCGTTGGAGGTGTTTTCCCTTGGAAGTCTATTTGGCGATCCAAGGCTCCCCTTAAGGTGGCCTTCTTTGCTTGGACTTCCGTCTTAGGTAGGATTTTAACTCAGGATAATTTGAGGAGGAGGAATCAGGTGGTGATTAATAGATGTTATATGTGCATGCGAGATGAGGAGACCGTTGATCACCTTCTTCTTCATTGCAGCATGGCTAGGGACTGTTGGGATTTGATGATTGGGCTGTTTAGGATCCCTTGGGTCAGGCCTGGATCCTCTAGAGGGTTGATTGAGGCTTGGAGAGGATTTTCAGTGGGGGCTCTCATCCGGGACGCTTTGAGGGCTACGCCTCTGTGCATTTGGTGGTGCATTTGGCTTGAGAGAAATAGGAAATGTTTCGATGGAAAGGAAAAGCCTATCTCTATGCTTAAGTTCTCGATTATTTCCACTCTTTTTTGTTGGGTTTCAGGGAGAGATTTTCGTTCTGTTGAGGAGTTACTGGTTTTTTTGGCCTCTTAGAAGGCTTAAGGCGCTTTTGGCCTTGTTTTGTCATTGGGTTTCGCTCCCCCTCTGAGCGTTTCTTTAATAAAATTTTACTTATCAAAAAAAAAAAAATGTGGAAGCTCTTCTCCCCAAGCAAGCGAAACGCTCTATAGTGCGACTTTTTGGATTTGAAAAGCCAAAGGCCGCTTTGAAAAGCCAATCCGAACAGGGCCTAAGAGGAAGACCAAAGTTAATGTGCGTAGAGTTAGTAAAGAAAGGTACGATAACATGTAAATTGATTGAGGTTATGGCATTAAATAGAGCGGAATGGAAGCTTTAAATAGAGAAGAATGGAAACATAAGATTCATGTAGCAGACCCCAAGTAATTGGAAAAAGGCTTGGTGGTTGTTGTATGGTACCAAAACGGAAAAATACAATTTACATGTTTTATGAATTTTAAAATTAAGAAAATATTAAAAAAAAAGGACATCTAAGGAGATTTGTAACAAGACCCCCAAAAAAAAAGAAAAAAAAAAAAATGATGCATAAATTTGTAAGATTGGATTTTCTTTCTTTTGAATTTTGTAAATTTAAGTTGTTGACATGCTTGGAGGTTGTTTATTGATGAGAATACTTGTTTAGAAGAGAGAATCATGAAAAACTGGAGGAAAAAAAAGTTTTATATAGTGGGGTGGCAAACAACATTGCTGCAGCTAAGTCGGGTCCAATCACAGTCATTGCGGCCAAATCTTGCCGAGATAGCTATGAAGTTCTCTCTCACCAAGAATTGACTTGACCTAGTCTCAACTCTGGTTGAGTCTGAGTCGGGCAGAGATGACCGAGTTTTAAAACCTTGGTTCGAAGTTCATAAGAGTCAAGTTTAAGATAACATTTTCATTTACTGACATGAATGCAAACCAAAACTTGCTTGCAAAATAATATGAAGTGATTGGTGAATGTTGGTGGTCAAATGTTTGGATTAGGAGTAATGGTGGTAGATTTCAACTCTAATGGGATGTATTAAATTGGATCATCATCAGTGACAGAGGTGAAGGATGGTGGTCTATGTTTCAAGTGGTGGAAGTGGTTTGGGTTGATTTAGATCTTCAACTTGCGGTTTAGACTTTAAAGAGAGAAAAAACTGCTCTCAAAATCACTGCTAGTGTTTAACTTTTAGAGGTAGTTTTTCCAATCATAACTCCATTCAAAAGAAGTGGATAAGAAAAATAAGGAGAGAAATAACCATTTCAATATACATATATATGCATATATTACATATAAATTTCTACGGATGACACATTCAGATCTCAAGTGGAACTTGAGCCTTGCACATCTCCCTGTGGAGTGACCCAAAAGATAGCACTGTGGAGTGTCGACTGACCCAAAAGATAGCACTCAAGCTAACCACCAATGGTAACATACATGTAAAATATGGATGTGTTGATGTGAGACTCATGTGAAAACACACACACTAAAAAAAATATGTTGCAAGTTTATATGTATGTGTGTGATGTGGGGCTCATATGAAAGTACAAAAAATTAAAATATGGATGTGTTGATGTGGGACTCATATGAAATATACAAAAAAAAAAAATAGTTAGTCAGCTAAGTCGATAGAAACAAAAAATTATATTTATAGATATGTGAAACTTCAATTTCCATGATTTCTTAAAAAAAATAAAGTTTCAATATTTAAAACATTTAAATGGTGTCCTTAGTTGATAAATAGGAATCCTACATCAGTTTGCATTCCTCGAGGCATCTTAAGGACTAGAATATGTGAAAAACCATATATAAAGCAATGGCAATCTAACTGAAAAGAAACAAATGAAGCTGTAACTATGATGGCTTAGATTTTAAGCAGAACTCTGAAAAAAGAAAAATAGATACTAATAATATGGATGCCCAGAGAGGGTAGATGATGATTGTTCTGAGAAGAGGAAATAATACCCCTGCAAGCTGCTTATCAGTCATTTCAACACCTTCTAGAAGTGTTTTGAGAAGTGGCACAGCACCAGCACTGTCTGTAGATGTATCTATCTTCGAAAAACTGCCTTTTACAACAGAAGCAGCCCTCCCCAGATTATCTGCAACATCCAGTAAGCTCTTTGCAAAGTTCTGCAGCATATTTTCAAACAAAGAACAGAGTAATACTCCCATATACGAATTGAAGAATCTTGAATTATGATCCAATAAGAAAAGTACAAAGACATTATATGAAAGGAGCTGCTGGCACAAACCTGAACGGCAAACTTTTTGGAGCTCTCTGCTTCACGTTTTGTCCTGTCCATGACATTCTCCATCTCTGCATAACTCCGTAAAACTTTATCTTGCATTTTCTCCATCTCTTTGTGCTTTATCTTTAGAAGTTCTTCCTTCTCCGCCACAAGTTTCGACAGATCATCAATAGACAAGTTGGCCAGTGAATCTGAATCAGAAAATGCAGTTTGTTTAGTACCCCTTCTTCTTTTGACAGATTCGGACATGTTAGCAGGGGTTTGAGTTAGAACCTGATTCTTCTTTCTGACCAGGAACTTCAGCCTCTCCAAACCCAGCTGCTCCATTGTCCTCTATTGTATCCCCTTGTTCATTTCTGGATTGGGCATTATCTTTTTCAGTTGGTAGGGGTGATGCAGATGAGGAAATTCCGTATCGTTGAAAGGCTGACGTATTGAAGATTGAATGATGTAATACAGACACCTGACTAGCAACAACCACCTAAAACAGTAAAAGAATGCACATAATTCACTAGGGATACTTTTGGTCAGATGGAAACTAATAGTGTAAAGTGAAAGTAAAAAAAAAATAATAATAAAAAAAAAAGGTGAACTGAAATGAAAGAAACATAGTTTTCTAACATGCATTTGATTAGCACGAAATTTTCTCAAGAAAGTTATGGGAAATCCCCCTTTCATGGTTTGGAATGCATTAAACTTGCAAGAAAAGGAAGGGCATCATTGTAAATTCATAAATAAATCTAAAAAAACCAAAATTTTCCAGTGATTTCTGTGGGAATATTTTATGGGAAGTTAGGTGGTTATGGAAAATTACTTTCCCTTGAAATTTTCCTATCCCAGATATCAAAAATCCTAAAGTGCTTAACAGTTTTCCATTTCCTCTCCTTTCTTGACAATTCCATCTAATCAAAAGGAGCCTAGGATAACACAGTATACAAGTCAGGAAAACAAAGCTTTTGTCAAAAGGTAGTCAGAGATGCTAAGTGCAGAGCACACAACTATCTTTATGCTACGAGGCAGGATACATGATAACAATATATACGAATATGCAAAGCAAAGGCAAAAGAAAACTAGAGATTTTAATTGTAGTAATTGCATAAAAGGCAAAAGATCTAGGTAAAATTAGTTTGAGTCTCAATGAGCTAAATCCGGTTAGTATTATTTTAAAACTTACAAGTGAATCTAAAACCCACACTTCAATTGCATACCAACTCCAAGTTCTAATGCTTTGGGAAAAATGATGAAGTCTAGTTCTTTATATTCTAAACCAAACATCGTTTATCCGTTCCCATTTCCTTTTTGTCGTTCCCATTTCCTTTTTGTCGACACACAAAACATTAATTCAACAACATGATTATTGTTGAAAACTTCATCGTCAACAGCTTTCAAATACAGCAAAGAGTAAATTCACCTTATAAACATGCATAAAGAGTGGGTATGGGGTTAATCCAACAAAATGGTGAAACAGATAAAGTGGTGAAATAAACCAATTCAATAATGAAAGCATTTCTAATCCCACTTTGCTTTCAAAATTGAGACCTTCAATTGGCAGAATCTTATGCTTGGTTAGGAATGCAATTCATGCCAATCATTCTAGCATTTAAAATGTAAAATCTCATAAAAGCAATTTCCTAAATAATCATGTATGAGAATTCTGAACTCATCATAAAATATTATTTCTGATTTAAATCCCCATCTTAACAAATATGAGAATGGCAGAGGGGTGAATACGCCTATTACACGCAACAATAGCTCCAAATGGAATGAAAAGTAAATAAATTTTGACTAAAGACCAACTTTAAACAGAAAACAAAACAAAGAAATAAGAATAAAACAACATTTGATGGGCAAAAGGCCTTTGGCGTATCGAAAATCGTCTTAAGATGCCTCAATTTACAGTATCACTAAAACCCTATTAAAACCCTAGTTGATATGGAAATCCTGAAAATGAAGAAATTTGAGATTGTTGTACCTTGTTTGGAGATTCACGAAGGGAGTGAAATTGATTGGAAAGGATCGGAAGGTGGTGTTGTTGTAGTTGTTGTCGACGAGCATAGAGGAGGAGTGAGTTCCGGCACTGAGCCAAAACGCCCTTCGGAAGCCGAGAGGAAACCCTAGATACCAACATCGCTGGATGTAGATTTATTGTGTCCAGAAAAGTTGAATCGTTGTAGAGAGAGAAAGATGGGGGTTTATGGCGACTGGTCTGAAGGGTTTTAGGAGAGAGAAACTTGGGGGAAATAAAACATGCTTGGAGAGAAAGAAAGTGAAATAAGGAAAAAATCTTGTTTGAAAGAGATTTAAAAATAATTTTTTAAAACAATTGTTTGAAAAAGGTTTTAAAAGAGGATATATATATATATATATATATATATATATATATATATATATTATCAATGGATTAATAATTTTCTGAAAACCTGCACATGAATTTCATTTGAATAACATAAATTTTAACAACATAAATTTCATTTGAATAACATAAATTTTAGATATACTTCTATACATTGTGAATGGGTTTTCGTGGATTTGATTTGATTTTAGATTTACATAAAATTAAAATTAGTTTGATACTGTGTCCCTTTATGAGTTTTAATCACAACTAGAACTTGCAATGTGAAACCCTATTTCTATTATCCCACAATTTAGAAGAATGTATTGGCCTTTATTATTTCACTACGTTATTATAATTAATATTTATTTTTAATTTTAATTTTTGAAGATAATTTGTAATTTTATTTTGGATAAATTACACCGACCCTTTAAGTTAAGTCAAATATCAATATTTTGATTTTAACTATCACTCACTCACATTTTGAAGAGTTTCTCTTAGGTGTCAGATCACTTTTACATGTGAAATGACAATATTATTCTTTTGACTACATGTTGACTTAATTCGTATAAAAATACTTAATTACCCCCAAGAGACCTATTTTAAATGATAAAAGTATCATAAAATTTAGAAAAAAAAACCTACACTTATAGGTTTAGGACCCAAAACAAACTAATCTATTTTAGAAGTTCATTTTTCACTCTGGTTTAATTAAGTAAAATAATTACATATTCCAAAATGCCCTCCAAACATTTATTCCAAAATACTAAAAAAAATTCCCCTAAAATCAAGTACTTTCTTTAAATAATTTATTTCCTTTCATTTTGAACCATATTGCTGCAAATTTCATATATACACACGATAAATTATACAAACAATTAAAAAAGATTCAATATAGTAAAAAATGGGGCAATCAAAGGTTAGTCTCCAAAAAGAAAAATATAATTAAACTCAAGAATATATAAATTGTCTTTGCTGTGGTGTATGCCTTAAGATGATTATCAATTTTTTTGCTCATTTAATTACACTTGTTTTATAAATAAATAAATAAATGATTTGCTGGTATTCCATTTACTGAAGCAACTATTTAGTTTTTTTCATAATCTTCCTCTCTCGTGTGTACTGTGCGTGTATATACACATTCACAGGAAAAGTTAGTTTTCACATTTGCAGATTTGTACTGGTATGAATTAGGAGATATAGATAAAGTTATGTGCAAATAAAATTATATATATATATATATATATAAAAGATGAATTTCCACTAACTGAAGAAAAAAAAAAAAAAAAAAAAATTCTACACATATTTAATTTCCATTAAATTATTTCTATATTAATATTTGCATGTTTGAACCGATATGGATCAGGAGATGTTGTTAAAAAAGATTTGCACAAAATTTATATTATATATATATATATATGTTGTTTCTTATTTTATTTATTTTTGTAATATATACACCAATGCCAAGTTGAAAGTCAACTTAGAAATCTTGTTTTTCTAAATTTTATAAATGAAAGAATGATTTGATTTAGGAAGGGTATTTTGGTATTTTGAAATAAGAGTTTGGAGGATATTTTGGACCTAAATAATAGTTTTTAATACATATATAATTATTTTACCTAACTCAACCAAATTAAAAAATTAACTTTAATAATAGACTAATTTGTTATTTAAGATTCATAAATTTACTTAAGCGTAGTTTTTCCTAAAATTTAACCAACTTCTTCCATCACTATATATATGGCAAATTGCAATGCTCGTTTTCAAATTAAGAATATACCCAAATAATTAAAACACTTTTTAAAACTATGATGTGAATCAATTCAACTAGACAAACTCTTCCTCAACTATTTTAAATAAAAATTTGAAATGCATATTTACGATGAAGAACTCAGCTTTGATTTATATATTAACCAAATGGACAGTGTGCAATCTTTTTGAGACATGGGGGACAGCGTATCACGAATGGGCTAACCCTCTGAATTTCTTCGAGTTTCTCTCAAATCAGATGCAGTATGTGAACGAAGAGATAACAACTTTTGACAATTTGTAATTTTTTACAGCACGCAATCATCCTTATTTAATTATTACTATTATAAAAAGAATCTAAAATATATGTTTAAAGAGGTGGAAAAGTTAGTGGTGCTGGGCCAGACCTGATCCAGCCCAAGATGCCCAATGGATCCAGCCCATCACCAATAATAAGACTCAAAGGTCAGGCCCAATTCGAAGGAAGTCAAAGATAACAGGACCGGGCCTACATTGGGATCTAATTGGATGGACGAACCGCCCCACACAGGAGGCCCATTAACGTTTACTTTCAAGGGAAAGTATAGAAGATTAGGGGAAATTGTACACTTCTATAAATAGGAATTAAAAGGGAAATAGAGAGGGTGTAAGAAAATCAATTCCCAAATATAGAATAATATTTTCTTGCGACTTCAATGTTATCTTCGTTTGTATGGAATTTATGTTTTAAAATTGAAATAATTTTTTATTTATTTTTTAGTTTAAAAGATTTCAAAACACCAACTCCTCCTACATTAAGGTATGTTATCGTCCATTAAAAATTAGGTCAAAATTAGGTTGTAAAATGTAAGTATGGTTGGTCCAAGTTGTGCAGTTGGTCATAGTCATAGAAATGTCCAAAATCTTAGGGCCTTAAAAGTGTAGATCTGGCTTGGGGGAAGAGGGAATTGATGTTGTCAGCGCAAACAAATTTCATACCAAACACCGTCCATGCCTATATTGATCCACTCTTCCAGTTTTCAAGGCTGTGATTTTTTTTTTTTTTTCCCTAGTAAGCAATGTACACCCTTACTTTAAGAGCCCATTAAAGGTTGTTGTTGAAAAAAAAAAAAAAACAAATAAACAAATAAACAAACAAACTTTTATTAACAGTGTAAGTAAAAAACATGTTACGTGTTTGATGACACATTATAATAAATACTTTTCATAATTAAATTATTTTTTAATTTATTTTTTAACAATATTTTTTAAAATATTTTTATTGTTAATTTTACAATAATATTCTTTAATAGGATTTTTGATAATAACAATTTTATTAAGAAATGAGTGTAATTGTCTTTATAAAAAATTAAAAAGAACATAATTGACTAATGAAAAAGAATTATCTAAAATATTCAACTTCTACTCAGAGCCTAGTTTTAAAAGCTTCAAATTCTAGCTTAATTCAAACATTTTATAAATTTGATAATCTATTAAAAGCGCTTTTAATAATTACTAAACACATCTAAATATAATTTTTTAAAATAAAAGTACTTTTAAACTGTAGAGAAGTAATCCCATACTATAATATTGCATTTGGAGGAGAGAGAATGAGGAGGAATAAATGGAGTTTGGAACAGATCACGTCAGGCTAAATACCCACTCTTTAACCCACTAACAACACAACCCACTAAATATATTATATTTTAATGATTTTTTTTTTTTTTTTTCTAAAGGCAAATTTTATAATCTATTAAATCAGTGAAAACTTAATTATAAAAAGTCGTGTACTTGCTAAGTTTCTAACCCATTTGAGTTTCAAATAGCATTACATATCTTTCCTTTTTTAGAGGTAAAATTGAAATGGTGAAATTAAAAATCTATTATATGTTGAATATTTTTTTTTCAATTGGCATGTCACTTTGATTTTAAGGGAATGGAGAGAGAGAGAGCGCAAAAGGAGAATATAGAATATTTTCGGTGTTTTATCAATCAATTACATATGTTTTTTTTTAAAGTTAATCATTCAAATAACACTGTTTTTACTCTAGCGAGTCCTACCATAACGTGTCATCATTTAATAAGTGACAAATTTTTTTTTTTTGTATGAATTATTATTATTTTTATATTTAACTAATTAACAAGATATTTGGATAATACTCCTTTCTTTTCAGAATCCCTTTCTTGCACATGCATGCATATGCTAAAGTAGCGAGGACTGAGGAATAAAATCTCATATATAAATTTCCCCCGTCAATATCACCAACCTGTCTTCGACACTAAGGTGCTCAGCAAACCACGAATCCTCTGCAATACAACACTCACAAATTCCATCACTCTGCATTTGAAACTCATTTAATACTCATTTAATGCTTGCAACTTGGTTAGAACAGGAACATGTGTTTTTAATTAGTTTAGGTCACCAAACATGCTTGAAGCCTTTGTTACGCATTAACATTTGTTATATGCAATGTATGGGGAATATAGTTGGTGTGTCCGGTATACCTTGCATAAGTCATTAAAATCATCTATTTTTTACAACGGCTCTCTACCGGACACACTGAATACCCCCCTTCATTTTATGAGTACGCTAATAAAAGTTCAAATGTACAAGGCAAATGACAGCTAAGAAGACACATCAGTACAAGCAAGGTCCAAAACATGAAAAGGAGCATTGAACACGCAGGAAATATGGTAGATAATAATGTAAATACTTAAACAAAAATCATTACCCAACTCGAAACTTGGCTAACCTGTAACATTATTTTTATTTCCGACCTTGTCTAAGTACCTGCCAATATTTATAATGTGAGTAACCTAAAATTATTATAAATCTTTTTTTTTTTTTTTTGGACAAAATCACAGTCAGACACACCCACTTGTCCTTATAAAAACTTAAACCTTTCTACTTTACAACAAAATTAGAATAACATGGGCACAATCGTCACAATTAACAGTCATTTTATAGGAGTAAGGACTAGTCCTCCCCAAAAGTAAGATGAACTTTTTGTTTTCCTAATTGATATTCACACACCCATGTCTCCTATGAGACTTGAATCCCTAATCTCCTTTTGAGAGGTAAGGAACCGATACCGCTATGTTACTGATCCGTTGGCAAAAGTAAGATAAATTCATCAATAGTTAAAGGTGTCTTGCCCACAAAACTAAATAATTATATAATTTTTTTTTTTTATATATATATATAAAACAAATGCATGTGTTATTATAAAATGCAATCTAGCGAAAAATAACAAATTAAATAGATTTAAACTCATATTTGAATTGAACATAAGCAGATTTGAATCCACACAAACCAAAACAATTGATTAAAGCATTATATACTAAATTGGGTTATGAAAAAAAATACCAAAATGAATATATTGTGTAAAACAATAATACTCAACAATTCATTCATGAGACTTTTATATTTACATAATAAATTAATAAAGCATATTAGCATAATCTGGGAGATTGAAAATAGAATACAGAAAGGACAGAAATAGAGAAGAGTTGCATAAAATTCTTAAATCCAACAAACAAAAGGGAAAAAAATGATGTTATGCAAAAAAATATCCAACAGAGGAATAAATAATATATATATATATATATATCCATAGGAGGAAAAAAAAAAAAAAAAAACACACACACACACCCATATATATATATATATATATATATATATATATAATCTTTCCCTAATTGTTGAATTCACAATTTTAACCCTGCTCCATTTGTATTGTGTTACTCATTTTTTCTTTTTCGAAGTAAGAAATGTTGAGAATTAGATTGGTAGATGCAGAGAGTTCGAAATTTGATACTCCAAAATCGTCTACCAGAGACATTAACTCAGTGAACTATCAATGCATCGGTATTGTGTTACTCGCAATTGCCTATTAAAAAGTCATTGAAGTGGTTAATTAGTAGCTACGCGTAGATTCAGTACTAAGCAAGAACAAAAAAAAAAAAAAAAAAAAAAAAAAAAGAAAGAAAGAAAAAAAGAAGAAGGAAGCCGACAGTAATCTTTCAAGCAGTTACAACCACATGTGCCCTACGGCAGTTACAACCGCAGGACACATGAAACAGGTGACCCTCCTCTTTGACTCTATATATTTTTTTTCCCTCAAATATAATTTGTCCTAATATACTAAAAAAAATATCTTTTAAATTGCCACAAGAACATTTTGAAACTTCTTCTTAGTATCTAAAAGAGTATTCTAAGCCAGAGAGTGACCTTGGTATAACTATCACTGAAATTTACATTTTTTGCAGATTAAAAATGCAAATTTATGAAGAACTCATCTAGCACACCAAGTTGGCTTTGGTTCTTTTTCCAATCTTTTAAATGTGAGAATGAGTAAAATGACACACCATATGATGTTCCCTCTTCTTTTCTAATATTTAAATTTGAGAATGAACCTTTACTTGCAAATAATAATTGGAGGAATATAACGGATAGGGATCCTCTTCAACCGGATCTCTTTCGTGTTTTTCGTGAAACTATATCTAAGGGCTAAAAAGAAGCCACGTCATTTGGTAACCCACAAAAAAAATGTTCTGTTCTCTTTGGACTCCATATCTCGAAAGGTACAGAGTAGTTAAGTGATTACCAAATGATGTGATTTTTTCTTAGTCCTCTAGTTTCACGAGAAACAATGATGATCCTAAAAGGATCCAAATCCGAATATGACATCACATATGATATGACCCTTAACAAACATATAATAGGAGGAATATGACACACCATATGATGTGCTCAATTCCCTAATCAAGTTTATGGAACATTAATTTAATTGAACCAGTTTTAAGAATGGAACTGTGAAAAATATATCTGCATTCCTTTGCTAGTTCCAGTGGATATGCTGCCAAAAAGTAAGATAAAATTTTCAAACAGCTCTTTACCTTTTAACCTAATTTTTAACTTTCAAACACAGTCATAGTTGTGAAACTGAGATCACTTCAGGCTTGGATAACTCGTCATGCTGAGTAACAGTTCCCTAGATGGATCTTAGTCAAGGATACAACTTCACCAACCATGATTTTTTTTTTGCACTTTCATGATTCTATCTTAGCTAAAAGCAATGCTAATGGGAAGATCCAGAGGGCATTAGTGTAAAGTCAATCTAATTTCCACTCAAAACACATTTTGACTGACTCAAGTTACTTTCGGTAGGTTTTTTTTATTTATTTTTTCCTGGAAGTTACTTTAGGTTGGTTGAGTTTAGGTTTGATTTCTCTCAAGACCAGAAAAGAAAAAGAACAAGAAAAAGTTATATTTCAACCAACACTGTCCTTAATCCGTACAAATGTCATGAGAAACTGATGAAACTTTGACAGTGCATTCAATCTCAGTTACCACAGTAAACACCAGAAGTGTCCTCTCACTTTCTCATCTTCCCTCTTCATTTTCTCACCCAACACTGCAAATAGCAATTAGAACTCATATCAAACTTTGTCCCACCTAAATTCAACTTCCCTCCACCACTCTTCCTATAACTATTCCTACTGGCACTCTGAACCCTGTAATAAGTAGGTGAAGCAGAACATAAAAATATGGCACCCAAGTCCATTCATCTGCTTCTATTACTACAGTTCCTATTGCAAATCCTCGAGATCCATGCAAAAGTTCCGACCATCATCGTGTTCGGAGACTCCTCCGTAGATTCCGGGAACAACAACCACGTCTCCACGGTCCTAAGGAGCAACTTTGAGCCTTACGGTCGCGATTTCAACGGCGGTCGGGCCACTGGTCGGTTTTCCAACGGTCGGGTTCCGCCGGATTTCATCGCGGAGGCATTTGGTGTCAAACCAGCCATACCTGCCTACTTGGATACTACGTATAACATAACTGATTTTGCTACAGGAGTTTGCTTCGCTTCAGCCGGAACAGGTTATGATAATGCTACATCTGATGTGCTAGTAAGTCCGACAAAAAAATTACATTCAATTTTTGAATAGAACAGTCCCACTGCTATGCATTTTCTGAAGACCTAAACTTTTGTAATTAACTGTACTTGCAGTCTGTAATACCTCTGTGGAAAGAAGTAGAGTACTACAAGGAATACCAGAAGAGGCTGAGAGACTATTTAGGCGATGAAAAAGCCAACAACATTTTTAACCAAGCACTGTATCTTATAAGCTTGGGAACCAATGATTTCCTAGAGAATTACTACTTAATTCCCACAAGATCGTCGGTGTATTCTGTTGAAGAGTATCAGCATTTTCTTGAGGGGATCGCGAGAAATTTCGTCACGGAGCTTTACAAGCTTGGAGCCCGGAAGATGTCTTTGGGCGGGCTTCCTCCAATGGGGTGTTTGCCATTGGAGAGAACCACAAATCTCTTCTCTGGAAGTGAATGTATAGAGGAGTACAATGATGTAGCAAAGCATTTCAATTGGAAATTGCAAGGATTGGTTGCTAATCTGAACTTGGAGCTTCCAGGAATTAGATTGGTGCTTTCAAATCCATATGACATTCTCTTAGAAATCATTCGGAATCCTCACTCTTTCGGTAAGTTTTTTTTGGTCATATTTTCACCTCAATCACCTTCAGTGTGATGCAGCATGAATTGCATGATATAACAGGTCATGCAAATTCAGCCTTGGGTCATTGGTTCCTACATGATATGCGTTACCCTTAAAAATCTGGCATGACACCATGAATTGTTGGGTGGAGCTTCAAATTTTCAATATCCCAAAAGAGTAAAGGCCGCGTACATCTAAAGCTCCCTAGACCACGTGGTGGCAGGAGCCTTGTGCACTGGTTTGCCCTTATTAACACAAACCACCATATAAAAACATCCAAAGTTGACTTTATCCATAAATAAGATAACAAGGAGTGCATGAACTTTGTTTCAAGGTATATGGTTCTAAAACAGTCAATAGTTATATTTATAATTTCAAATTATATTAACAATGTCTATTTTAGCTAATTCCTCAATTCAGTTAGAATGCATATCACTAATTTCAATCACTTAACATAATTACTAATTAGTACCATCAGTCCTCATTTCCTTCGCTGCATTTAACAGTTTTATTCCTAATTACAGGATTTGAGAATGCAGCAACTGCATGTTGCGCGACTGGAATGTTTGAGATGGGTTATTTGTGTAACAGATTCAATCCCTTCACCTGCCAAGATGCAGATAAATATGTGTTTTGGGATTCCTTCCACCCCACAGAGAAAACGAATGGTATTGTTGCAGATCATGTGGTCAAGACTTCCCTAGCTGAATTTCTTTGATCAGTCCCATTGTCTATTGAGTTTTTGTAACCATAATAAAATTAGTCCAAATTGTTTTTATATATATATATATTTAGATACTGTACAATTTCCTATAAATTAAGATTTTGCAAACATGAAGAAAAACTCCCCCAAATTTGCACTTCGTCCATAATCAAGCACAACACCTTCTATATCTTTCCAATATTTCTTGGTCAAGGCATATAAAAGACCTAGGGGACACAGTGAAGGAGGTGCACTAGAAAAAAGAAAGAAAAAACAGATGTTATTTTCAAGCTCTTTTGTAACTTACTTAGCAGACACTAGAGGTGCTATGAGGTGATCTCATGGGCTTCCGCTATAGTAGAGGCTCCTTAACGCAGAACTGCTTATAAAACAGCCCTTTAAAAAGAGTTGAAATCCATAAATGATTCCGTGTCTACATTTTCTATCTCAGAGGAGAGAGATGAAGAACCAATATATTAGATTATATTCAATTATTCGTGAATCGTGGTGCTTCTCTGTAGGGCTATGAGACATTCTTTATGAAATTAGGCGACTAGTCCAAATGAAAAGCTAAAGTTTCTTACACGAGCATCATCATATCACTGCTTTCCTTTATTAAGAGAAACAGTCGGGAGTTCAGGCTCAATAGATATTATATTACCTACTACTATAACAATCTTGTATCTGTATAATACATAAAGATCGTTTGAAGAAATTTTAAAACTATGTGGGTAAAAGAATATAACAGAAACTAAAAGCTAATCGATGCATCTAGCCAATAACAAACTCATATATCAAATACTCAGTGAATCAAGCACCTTAAAAAAAGTGGATGGGCACCTTCATTTTGATTTCTTGGGAAAATGTAGTTTGATCAGCAAATTTCAGCTAGCTCAATCAGATGCTTATCTAACAAAATGCTCCTCCACGTTTCATCACTTGACCACATTCTCGTTGCTTGGGTCCTACATATAATGATAGTAATGAAACATGATTATATTAACAACAACAACAACAATAATAATAAATTCTAGTAGTTAAGGCAAGAAAATATCAATGTATTCTTTAAATTACTTGCAAAATATTATTATTTAAAGGATGAAAAAAGCAATAAAAAAGCTAGTAGAGGGGCTCGTATTTGCTTCTCAAAACACAAGCAACATAGACATATGTTAAGCATTTTTAGTAGCGCGCTGCCTGACATAGGTACCGCAGTGCACCGTGGACTAAGCTCCCGTCCTCATTGTTGTTAGATCGAGAGGTTGGGCACAAGCCCAGTGAAAATGCACTCATGATAGACTTGCATTATTTATTTTTAGGTTCTATAATTAAAGTAGGGAAGCTACTGCCGCAGCAGGTACTATTAACACTACTGTCATCATTCACATCATTGTAGCAGGTTACTGATTAAGCTACTCCATTCTGTAGCAGTGAACATTTTCATTATTTGTATTTTTTAGGCTTCTTTTATGTAGATTTTACTCAAGGGTTTAGATAGTCAATTCAATAGTAAGGACTTATCACTATCAAAAGTTACAGAAGCTGTTGAATCATCTCTCTTGCTGGCAAATAATGAATAAAAAATTGCAGCATTAGTAGGGCAGGGCTTCATCATTAGGTTATTTATGAGGTCAACTAAGGCCCCAACTAGAAAAATGATGTTTTTTTAGGTGGGCTCTACTATTAGTTTCCTAAATTGTTTAATATTACATTATTTATCCACATTGGCCTATATTAAATAAGTTTACATTGTATAATGTGAAAGATCTTCACCTATTTTACCTCTCTTTTTTACCCCTTCTCATCTCCTCTTTTCTCTCCTATTTTATTTTTCTCAGGCCTCTTCTCTCTCCTATATATATATATATTTTTTCATTCTCTCACACCTCTTTGTATTTCTTCAGACTTGTTAACTACTCCTATGCACATTCATTTTCTTCGAAATTTCTTCTTTAACTTCACTTTTGTATGTGCTTGAATCAAAATTGGCCATCGTATTTAAACTATCTTACGGAAACTTAATCAGCAATTTGCATCTCAAAAAGCAAGAAAAATGTTTTTTATATATAAGAATATCAATATTTTTTATATTGATCAATTAAAATCAAAGCCATATTTCGATTTTTTGCTTTAGGCTTCAAATAACATTGAGCCAGCCCTAAGCATTAGTCCATGATTTTGGTAAACTCACTGTTGCCTTTTTATTTACTTCTCTTCTCTCTATCCTCTTCCACTTATTCTCTAATTTTTTTTCCTTTACTCTAATCTCTAATTAATTTACTAAAACAAATTACTATCTTTTTAATTAAACCAAACTTCAACCATCAAAATAGCTCCAATAAATCGTAGTTCTCTTCCCGAAACACTCTTTACTCAATTTTCAACTGTCCCTAATTTATTTCTCATCAAACCTTAAACATAATTCTTTATTGAAGTGTTTGAATTTCAAATCTTCCTTTATCAGAGCTTCTGCAGTGCGGAATTTAGATTCTTGAGTACTCTTTATAGCTGAAGTTAGCAGTTTATGATCTTACACAATTAACTTGTTCATACAAACCATATTCGAAAACTAGTGTCATTTTGAGGTCAACAACCAAAGGTAGGAAGCGGTTGTCTTCTTGTTGACACCCATTTTGGTAATTAGGTCTGGGCTCCAATTGGGCGTGATAAACAGTGACATGATGGTATGGACCAAGAGTATATGGGCCTGATGAATGATGAAAGCTCGGGCTGCACAAACATTGGGCTGTGTATGGTATTGTTAGAGTTGCACTACACAATCAATCGAATTTGATTCCAGTTATTGTGGCAGAAACGCAAAATAACAACGCACGTTATTCGTAGAATAATTAAGCAATCACAAAGGGAAAAAAAAAAATCACACACAAGAATACAAGATATACATGGTTCACCCAAATCTTAGGGCTACGTCCATGGAGCACACCGAACAAATTCATTATGAAAAAGATGAAGAATTACAAGGAGAATTCTCTCTCAATCTCTCTCAATTGCTCTCTCTTGTATTGGCACACATTTTTCTCTAACTTTCTCACCCTATTTATAGAGTCCCTAAACTTGTCCTACAAGAATTTGCCTTTTGTAAAATCCAAAACCAATAAGGAAATTAAATCAAATCAGGAAACTGAATTTTCCTTAAACCAATAAGGAAGTCAAATCAGATTAGGAAACTGAATTTTCCCTAAAATTCAGTACTCTTGAAGTTTCCATATAATTAAATCTTCCTAAAAATCTTCCATTTAATCAAACTCCACAAAACCACAACAATCTCCCACTTGGAGTCTGGAGCACTTGTAAACCCATTCCATCTTCTTCTCATGCATGTCCCATACATGTCGGTGCGCTTCTTTCTGTCTTCAAGCTAGAAGACCAACTGAAGTTGCGTACAACTTCAGTTTCTCCATGGTCACTGTCTTGGTCAACATGTCAGCCGGATTCTTGGTGCAAAGTATTTTCTCAAGTGTTAACACCCCATCTTCTAGCAAAGATCTGATAAAGTGATACAGAAGTCCTATATGCTTGGTGTGATATCCTTGGATTTCCGAATGCGAGTTGGCCAGGCCCACGCCCAATTACCCGAGGATATCAAACCAATTAGCAATAAACGAACACAGAATACAATTAAGGAAACAGGAATAAATAAAAATTTGCTGAAAAGAAAGTAGAATGATAAACCAAATACTGAAACCTCAGAATAAAATTAAATTAATAAAGAATTATTTTGATACATCTAAATTCTCCATTTCTAATACAACTCCGGAATCCATCTGGTGGACCCCTAATAAAATCATCATTGAGAAATGAATCACCGGAAAAGAATCCAATACTAAACCATACAAGAACCGCCTACGTCGTTGGGAGAATGAGAAGTCGTCTCTGCTCAGTACGAACAAGATCTAAGACTTGGAACCGTTCGTTACCTGAAAAATAATAGTAGGTCAGGCCCACGAACAAGTTCTATCCTAACTACAATCCAAATAGAGACCCGATACGCAGATACATCATAGATGTCTCAACCATATCTATATAGTCCATAAATAGATATATACATATAACCACACTACATGACTCTCACTAAACTATGCTGAAGATCTCAACCTGAATAGAAGGCAACATGCAATACGCACCTGAGTGGGCATGACTACCTAAGCCTAACAGGGTATACCTCAACCAACATAGCTAACTACGCATCCTACTGCATATACGCACCCAAACCGTCGACTATAAGACTCAAGCTCAGATCGCGGTACCATAATTTATATATATAAATTCCCATCCAAACCAATGTAGTGCCGCTCAACTGTTCGTTGCCATGACATGACATAAAATTAGGATTTAAACGTTTTAGTTAAAACCCTATCCTTCATAATACAGAAATATAAACAATCATCCAGTATGTCGTTCAACTGTGTTAGTTGACAGGACATGAAACCATATAGGATTTAACTATTTTAGTTAATCCATTCTGTATGTGTGAATGGGTAGGAATTAGCGTTGTGACCTAATCCATCCCTCCGTATGACACCGTCCCACACTGGTGCATACATGTAAATGATCCGTAAATGATGCAACATTTAGGCAGTATATCAAATAAAGTCCACAGTATCCATATAGTTGATAAACACAGAATTTAAACAAGTCATCAACTAAAAATCCAGAATCCATCCATGTAATTAAACGAGACAAAGTTTACAAATTCGTCAAGTTAAATTCCAGCATCCATCCAGGTAATTGACAGAAAATATACATTTATTTCTTCAATTAATTCCAGGCCAACGTCTAATTAGATTGGCAGAACCTAAGTACAATTAAAGTCTAAACCCTAATCCAAATAATTGCAGTGTAATGCTTAATATTACAGCAATTTAAAAATTCTAAGCTTAAATTCATGCATTGCAAAAAAGTATTTAGTATTTCAACAATTAACATCCAGGATATGCATAGACCAAATTTGTTAATTAAGTGATCCTAGCATACAACCACAATAAGAGTTACAAATATATACATACTCCGTTAAATTGCTAAACTAAAAAAAAAAACAATTAAACTTCTTTCATCC